AGGACACTCAAATTCATCCTATTAACCTAATACAACACCTTTAGATGAGACAAACACATTTTTTGTCCTATAAACTTAAAAGTCCTATTAACTACCTTATTAGGACACTAATGAGTGTCCTATAAAGCCCTTTTTGTTGTAGTGGAATCGGTATTTTTTTTTTCAGTTCACAAGTAATTATTGATTTATTAATAATATAATTGTGATTTTTTTTCCAGATTTTGAGTATATTATTTTGTTTTCATTCGTAAAACAAATGTCATTAATGAAATCATGTTATAAAGTTTTCAAATTTTTTGAAAAATGAAACGAATTTCATTTTGGTTAGGAACATATGTCATCAACGAAAACATGTTAATCATATTTTTTGGAAAATGTTCCATTGATGAACTGTATCTGGCTCAATTTTCGTTATGCAAATGTACAATGAAACCAATTTCATAATGAAAAAAATGAGATACAGTTTCCAAAAAGTTTTTGTTGATGAAACCAATTTTACTAATGAAATCATATTATTTATTTTGAAAAAAAAAATTCATTCATAAAACCAATTTCATTATTGAAATGTTTGTCAAATCCAATAATATATGCTCAAATGAAGATGAATCTGAGGGTAATTCTTTTTTGAATATTGAACATGAACTCAATTTCACGAATGATGAAACAAATTTCATTAACGAAAACATGTTATTTAGATTTTTGGAAAATGTTCCATTGACTAAACCATATCTGGCTCAAATTTCATTTTACAGACAAACAATGAAACCAATTTCACTGATGTATTCTCATCATGAATCAGACTGGTATGAAACAAATTTTGGATTGGTATGAATCATGTTTCAGATTACGTTAATCTGTTACATTAACCAGTCTAGTCCCAAATAATATATTTTTCCAAGTTGTCTATAAAAATATGTTTTTAAGGAACATGATATGTCAAATATATCAATGGAAGGAAAACCAATAAAACAATGATTTGCTTTCCTAATATCATATGGTTGAAAGCTAAAATGGTTTGCCAATTTTGCTTTTTCTTGATTAAATATTAAACCTTATATTTTATTTTATTTTTTACTTTTCTAATATAACACATTTTAATCATTAATCATGACCATTGATTAAAAAAATGGATGAATGAGATTGGTTTGTAGGGTTTGCACAAAAGGGGATGGTTTGCATTTGATCGCTCCTCTCTCTCTATATATATATATAAAGAAAAGTTCATTTGAGAAGCAGTAAGTATTTGAGAAGTAAAGAAGTAATCATAATCCTTCATTTGGTCAACATTTGCGGCTTTGACCATGAAGCACCACACACACACACACTCACACACACACACACACACACACATATATATATATATATATATATATATATATAGAGAGAGAGAGAGAGAGAGAGAGAGAGAGGGAAAAGTTCATTTGAGAAGTGGTATGTATTTGATAAGTAAATAAGTAATTTTAACCCTTCATCTGGTTAATATTTGCGTCTTTGACCATGAAGCACATGATAGTTCCTCGTATGGGTATGCGGAAGATAGAGGGATAGTTTCTTAACTTTTACAAATAGACGGCAAACAAGTTCATATGTGAATCCACGTGATACACATGTGAATTATATATTCATATGTGAACCCATTAATTAGTTCATATGTGAACTATTTAACTGATTCATATACGAACCCCCAGTATCGTATATGAATAAGTTAATTACTTCATATGTGAATCACAAGAATTCATATGTGAATCATTTAATTAATTCATATGCAAATCATACGAGTTCATATGTGAATCAGTTAAAATAGTTCATACGTGAATTACACAACTTCACATGTGAACATATAGGCCATATGTGAATCACATAGGTTCATATATGAATTCGTTTGCTGCCTATTTGTAAAAATACGAAAATACCCTTTATATTTTTCACATAGCCACAATTTTTGACCAGTCAAAACCGTAATTATTAATTAGTCAAAACCGCAATTATTCACCAGTCAAATCCGATCTTGACTGCATGAAAAGCTAAGATCACTTATTTACTTTTCAAATATCTACCACTTTTCAAAATAACATTTGACTATATATATATATATATATATATATATATATATATATATATATTATTAAATGCATTAATATCTTAAATTAGTGGTTTATGATGGATTTCATGGATCTCACAAATTATGGAGTTGTCAAATGATTAAGTCATTGTATGAATGTATGTATATATATATATATGTATGTATATTTATATGTATGTATATAATCTTGTTCAAGAGAAAATCGCAAAAAAAAGGATCTATTAGACATTTAGTCATTTTTTGCGTCCTACAAACCCAAACCTAATTGTATGGTAGTATATGTTGCTATTTTATTGTAGTATAGTGCACTCTTAACACCATCTTCAGTCCACACCTATAAGAAAACCCTAATATATAGGCCTATCCCCACGAATACATAAATCTCTTCTAAACCTACATTAAAACATAAAACTCTAAAAGCCACCACATACCCACATACACCGAACCCTACTTCATTACTTTACACAAAAAGTTTGTGTTTAATTAATGATTCTGGTTGAAACATGACCTCCATTTTTTATGGGTTGGAGATGCTTTTATTTAGCAAAAGAAATTAACGCCGGATATAAAGGCACAACTGAGACCACAAGCTACAACACCATATTATTTCATCTAATACATTTAATCTTTACTCATATTGCACCTTAAACCCATATAGCTTTTGCCTGGATAAGCAGTGGTTTAAGCTTGCTTTTCACATTAAGGCTCATTACCTCATTAGCACCTCCAATCATCTTCTTCCCAATGAACACAGCAGGTATGGTAGGACACCCTAATCCCACAAGCTCTTCTTCTATCTGTTTCCCGTTAGAAAGCTCATCAAGCTCGTATACAGTTGGACTGGCTCCAAAGTTGCTTATCAGACTCTTGACTGTATGGCTTATGCAACAGCTTGTTTTGCTGAAAATCACAACCGGATTATTCGCCACCAGCCTCTTAACTTTGCCCATTTCTTTGCAAGATAAGGTTACACCAATCTACTTGTTTATATCGATGAACGAGTGAGTCAGTTAGGTAAATATGACTTGTTCAAGCTTAGACCATCTAGCAAGGCCTTATATATATAAGTTTATAAAAAGCTCTTGGGTTTCTTAATGTGATTTTTTAAGACAATTTGGAAATAAAGCATCCTATTAATTTTTTTTTGTGATATTATTTGGAAAAATGTTTTATAAATATAAGTGTCATTTGAAAAGATGTGTTCATAAGACACTTTTTTAATTGGAAGTGTACTATGAGAAAACTAAAAGCGTTCTAAAAAACTTGTTAAGACACCTAAACACGTCATATATTCATAGTATAACATTTTACACATGACACACAATTGTTTAGTCTAATTATGAAAATCTAAGTCCTATATAATAGTCTATTAAGACATTTAGACATTTTTTACGTCAAATAAACCCAATTTTATTGTAGTGGTTTTACAATGTATCCTAAGGTCACTTTTGTTCACAAATTCAAAAAAGATGTGTCGCTGTCGAATTATTTCGATTCTATCGGATAAATGTGAAGTGATCGGGTCACAAGTAGTAAGTACCATATCGTTTAGATAGATAGAATATTTATGAAGTAATGGGTGCTTTGATGGACATATATACGGAATACAGCTAAAAAAAGCACTTGGATAAGATTCTATTTGGAGAATGCTTCAATCTAATGAAGTTTGGTGTCCAGATTTGTAACAGAACGGTTACCAACTGAGGATGACAATGACCAAGAATCTTACCTTGTAAGTGAGAAAAGACTTTTACCCGGTTGGTACGTGCTTACCACAATCCTGTTTTGTGACCGGAAATGTTTCCGGATAACGTAAGTCAGGATGGTCAATCTTGTCGGTAAGCACTTATCCGATAAGTTAGTGATAAACGACAACTTAGAGATCACAAGTTCAGAATAGAGGAACAATGTGCTTGCTAAGCCCCAAAATGGTGCATGGCAACATAAGAACACTCTAGCTAGCATCTTTGAGAACTGTAACAGTGCATTAGCATTTGGCTACCAGGACAGAGTCAGACCTATATAGGGGCATACGGTGGCATGTCATAATGGTCAAATGGAAAAAGATTACGATTCACAAATCGTGTCATTGTAATGGTTGTGTGTTCTTATATTTCTTGAAACTTAAATAGTGACTAACATTTCTAGTGGCAGAGTTGGTACATTGTCGTGTTATAGTTTTCATTTGGAAAGGCATGGGTTTGAAACCTGCGTTATCGCAAATTTCCATATTTTTGAGAATTGATTTTGTGTTTTCTGCAACTCTTGATATTTGATTTCTTTTGGAAGAAAATGCTTTGAGAAGAATCGAACGTAAGACCTTCTTCGCAAAGGCAAGGAATCAACCAACAAGTCTGTAATAATTTTACGGATTCTTTATAGTATTATTTCTTATAGCCAAATAGTGTCGACACTTAACAAATTCCCAGATGCACTTTTATATCTAGATTAATTCATATATGATCCATTTATAAATAGATATCCGCTTTTCCAATTCAATGGAAACAGAACGACTCAGTGTTTTCTCACTACAAAATGGTTGTTTTACGACACACCAACATCTTAATAAAGAACTTAATGAGACTTTAAGTGTCTATGATCAAGAATTGTGCATTTCATCTAAAGGTGTTACAATAAGTTGTTAGTAAAAAAGTAAACGACCTAACAAGTTCTATCAAAAAAGTTGGATAACCTAATGAGATATAAAAGTTAAAGTTAATCGTCCTATTTGTTCTTTTCTTATAAAACACTTTTGAAAAGTGTCCTGTATATCAAAAGAGTAATAGCAAAAATGGACAACAAAAATCAGAAAGAACGCTATACTTTTTGTTTCCTATTAAATGGTCCACCTTCATCGATTAAACTCACTATTCATCCTAACAACTCAACGTCTTCAGATATGACAATTTTTAATATGTCCTAGAAAATTAATGTTCATTAAGTATCCTATTAAGACGTATAAGAACGATTGGACGGACACGTTTTAAAAGGCCAATTTTATCGTAATGTCTCGGTGAATCTCAACTGCAAGCTCCAAAATTTTGTCCCTTCGACAAAACGACTCCCCGAGTCATCGAATGATCAATCTATCTTTCTATCATTATTATGCATAGAGACTTTACATCTTCCTTTAATTTATTTCAAGATTCCAGATTTGTTCCTTATTTCCCTTCTTATCATACTAGATATGCATATCTATACTTTTAAAGAATGTTACCAAATTAGAGATATATTCAGCCCTCATATCACTACATTAAATTTGGTTTTATAGGATACCTCAAATGTCTAAATTTTCGAATAACAGATACTTTATATGACCAAACCAAAAATTGTATCTTTTACAATAGGTTAAGTTATAGAATGTTTTTAAGCGTTTTAACTTTTATCTAAAAGCGTTTTAACTATTTGAAAAAGTGTCCTACAAGCACAAACATTTCTATAAACAGATAATAGGACATTTTATTTTAAAATTATCCTAAAAAACTTGTTAAAAACTCGCCAAAGTGTCCTATGAACCTATTGTAATGTTTTTAGATGTGACGTTTTATAATTTGATCATAAAAGCTTAAGTTTTATAAAGTATTTTGTTAGGATGTTTAGACATAATTCGTATTCTATAAAGCACATTTGTTGTAGTGTATTATGCAATTTGGTATCGGCCTTCTTTTTACCTCGGTAAAGTTGCACATATATATTTCAACTTCCCGTGACCATATTTTTTGTGAGATTTACTAGATTCGTTAATTGGTTTCGCTTGGGGTTGTTTGTATGTTACAATTCCTGTTGTATAAATTACGCCATTTTAGATGCAAATTTATAGGCTATGACTTAACGAATCGTACCATCTAAATATAGATGTATTTTTAATTGTGTAAGCAAAGTAGTGTGTTGCATTTCGTGATTTCTGATCTTATAAAAGTTGTACATAAATGACTCGATCTAAATCTTGAAACATTTATTTAAATTATTTCAATTTGCAGGATAAACAATCAAACCATAATCTATTTAATCGAATCATGAATCATCAAACCAATAGCCAATTCGACGAACTCATGTTATACTTTACATGGATTCAAATTGTATTGAAATGAAACGTAGAAGATAAAGATTTTTATTTTGAAGAACCAAGTTAAAAAGATTGTTTGGATTTTACAAGACATTTCGAACATGAAATTCAAATAAAAGAATCATGATTTTAAGCTCATAAAGTTATAATACGTTTCTATGTTACTCGCAACGTTATATTATGTCCTAAAATTATATCAAAGATATTACATGTTCTTTAAAAAAAACGTTTGAAGTCCGGTTTTCACAAATATAAATGGAAATAAAGTTTTTTGTATTAACCTGGATATCCAATTCGCTATGCGAGCCGATTAATCCTAGAGCGACCACCTTCGGTAGTTCGGAGTCACTGCATTTGAACCTCCACGACCACAAGAGAATTTTTGTTCCTCCTCGGATTTGAAAAAATATAACAACCCTAATCTACATATTAATGTCCACCTGGGAGAGTATCAACATATATGATTGGATGGAAGGGAAGATATCATACCAAAACATGAAAATAAACTAGAGTGCCATCTAGCCTTTGGATAACATTTTCTAATTTGTATGACCTTTTTCCATATTCCCACAAAAAAAATCTCATATTTGGCTTCTTCATTTTTGATTTTATAAAAAAAAAAACTAGATAAAAAAATTAAATGAATATTGTAAGTTTCTTAATAACCAAAATCAATTTGTGAAATTTTAGAAAGAATAGTGATAAATTTTACAGTGAATTATAGTTTTGGTTCCTATGTTTTGTTTAAAATTACGAATACGTTTCTTAAACTTTGTTTATTATGGTATTCATTTTGTTACGTGCATGATTATTCTGAATCGATGAAAGTTGTAAAACTTAGCCAAGCATGTATTTGATTTCAATAATGCCTCTCTCACTTATGAGGATAAAAGACATGCTCTTGATGTTCTTATCGTCAATCTTCAAATAATGCATGCTTTTGAACTTAAAAAAGAAAGCTAATATGCGAAATGAAAAATTAACCATTCTATTGAAAGAATTCAATATGAAATTTTTATCACACAGCTGACTGATGCTAAGAAGATTGTGTTTCAGTCTTTCAACATATGCAACATGTTTGAAAGTGGTTGCACCATTGGTTAATATACCAAAGCCCTTGGTATATCTTTTTCCGTTTCCTCCAAAGGACACAGAAGGGCCTCTTTCGTCCTTGTAGTCAGTGAGGAGGATTTGTCTCCAGTCATATGTCTTGAGCATCCACTATCAAGATACCAAATGCCTTTGACTTCCGGCACAAGAAAACAAAATAAGATTGCTTTGTTACCTATTTCTCAAATAGGTTCAGCGGAGTTAGAGGCGACATCCACTGACTCTGAAGACTCAGGATCAGTAGGTGTGTTCACTGAGCCTGAAGAAGAGGCTTCAGTGGGCTTCTTCATCTTAGTTGTTTTTACAACTTTGGTGGCAGATTTCGCCTTGGTTGACTTTTCAGCCTTGACTACTTTCTTTACCTTAGATGGCAAACCAGATTTGGTAGCTGAATGACACTTGTTGGTCCCGAAAGGGTCTACAAGATAAGAAACAGTTTGTAGAAGGGGGGGATGAATACAAACACAAGGTTTTCAAATTTAAAATATATATTGATAGAGAAGATCAATACAGATTTTTCAAGACTGTTTGCGGAAAGATAAGGTAAAGAAAAACCTATCTAAACAA